GCTAGCTAAGAAGTAATCACCATGACTTCGTCCACGAACTCCATGAAACGATGAAATATGGGAATCACTCCGATCTCCCACGAAAAAGAAACAGTCTCCCTCGGGAGTGCAAACTGTAACCCTTCCTCTGTAACAGTCAATCGTGGCATGAAATGAAGCCAACCAATCTATCCCGAGAATGACATCAAAGCTAGTCATCTCCAGGAGGATAAGGTCAAACACAAAGGTCCGCTCGGCTATCACAATGGAGCAATCCCGCACAACTCGGCTCAATGACACTGAAACCCCAACTGGCGTATCAACACATAACGCCTGATCCATGAAACTAACCTCTAACCCCGATGCAAGTGCAAATGATGATGAAATGAAAGAATGAGATACACCAGAGTCAAACAAAACACGGGTCCAACAACCAAACACTGGAAATATACCTCGAAGAACTAACGGTCCAGAAGATGCATCGGTCTGTGCCAGTGCAAAAACACGTCCCTGTGGTACCTGTGCCTGAGGACTGCCAACCTGAACACCTAACTGCTGCACTGACATAGTAGGAGTATCCCTCCTAACTGATCGTGAACCCTGTGAAGACATAGTAGGCTGTGGTGGTGGTGGTCTGAAACCTGACTGAACTGTAGCCGATTGTGATGACCTCTACTGTGACCCTCTGCCACTAATGGTGCCTGCTCTCTGACTCAGACAATCACGAATCAAATGGCCCTGCTGGCCACACCCATAATAAGCCTTCGGAGCTGACGAAACTGAAGACGATCTCATCGGACAACTGGACTTGTAATGTCCGGGCTGCTGACACTGAAAACAAACAACTGCACTTCTATCAGACCTAGCTGGCAACGGAGTGGTAGGAGCAGATCGTACAGACTGCTGTCCCTAAAACTGAGATGGACCGCCCCTGTTCCTTTTCTAAGAAGATCCTTCTGAAGATGGCCTTGCACCCCTCTTTTGCTTCAACTGTTCTCTTCTTGCATCCTTCTCTTTATTATCAGCTTCCAGCATCAAAGCCCTTTCCACTGCTTCAGAGTAAACCTTAATGAACTGTGCTGTGATCAACGGCCTCATCCGATCATTAAGACCAGAAACAAACTTCCGAGTCTTGTTAGCTTCATCTCTCACCACTTCTGGAGAAAAATGGGAGAGTGAGGTGAACTTGTTCTTATACTCCGCCACTTACATGTTCCATTGAATAAGATTATGAAACTGGTCTTGTAACTCCCATCTTTTGGAAAGCGAAAAGTACTTCTCATAAAACAGTTCCTTGAACCTGTCCCAACTCATCTCTTCAATCTTGTACTGGTTAGTGATCGACTTCCACCAAACCTTGGCATCCATAGTAAACTTGTAAGTTGCTAGGATGATCTTCAAGTGATCCTCTGTCACATCCATTGAGTTCAACTGAGTTTCGACTTGATCCATGTAGTTGTCGGCTACCATTGGGTCCGCACCGCCCTCAAACATAACCGGCATCAGCTGAGAAAACCCCTTAATGATCTTGAGACGCTTCTGAGCTGGCGTCTCCTCAACTTGAACTGTAGGTTGTGGTGCCGACTACGACTGAGCAGCAATCGTTGCCCTCCCGACATTTTGCAATAAACGATTAAACTCCAGTGCCACAGAACCTTCACCCACTTCTACGGGTGTTTCAACATTCTCTCTTCTTGGGGGAACAGCTCTTGGGGGAATCAAGTCCCTAAGAAGCATGTTCTCATCATTTAGCTCCTCTGGATTGGAGCTGGAGCTCTCACCAATATCACCCCTTGTTGGCCTAGGGCCAACTTCTCTAGGTTCCTCACGCCGTGACATCGTGCTATAAAACGAGAAAACGATTCAGAAACATGACACTAAGGTCCACTGTGGACGACTCAATAAGAATTAATACCGTACAACACTTGGCATACAAGACTATGCAAGAAACATTTTTACATAAACAAGTAAGCAAGTAAGCACATAGGCAGTTAAGCATGTTCATTTAAATAAGATACCACGTAGCAAATAGTCAAGTAAACAATACAAACAACATCCCATACGACTCTATGTAGGCCTCTACCCGTCATCCTAAAGGTTTTCGAACCTTGGCTCTGATACCAAATTTGTAACGATCCCAAAACTAATGCCAAGAATTTTTTTTTTTAAAAAAATTTGGCATAACCTCCCCTAAAAATGGACCTACCGCAACCTGTTTAAATGCATATTTAACCTGTCATGCAACTAATTTCCGAATTCACGGCAACAAAAGATAATGATACAACCTACTAATCTAGACAATGCTTCAAGCTAGGATTATCCTTCCATTCATCAACAAGTTACATATCATCAAGTTCGTATCCCATATGTCATCAAGTATCATAAGTGTATTACATGATCATGGTTCTTCAAAAGAAATTTACATCATTACACCTTTGGAATTTTACAAAAAATGAGGGATGAACAAAGGAGTAGTCTATTACAAAATAACAAGGAAAATGCTCCTCTAGCAACTTTCAAAGTTGGGGTGGATTGTCGTCCACTGGTTTTTTTCCAAGACCTGAAAAAAAATATATAGATATAGGGGTGAGCATATAGCTCAGCAGAGACATTTAAGACACAAATCTTGTGTCCTTGTGAATTCAAGCAAAGCATAGGCCAATGGGAGATAGGGATCATACAACGTAGGGGATCAAATACAACATACAATTCAATTCCAATTATAAACAATGCAATGCAATGCAATGAAATGCAATGCATGTCAATGACACTCCCCATTTTCATTCTCAAAACCATTACTTTCAAACGTTAATACAGCCCGCCCTTTGGTAACCCCGCCGCGACACGAGAGGAGGATTGGCTAGTGTCCCTGACCCTTGGTAACCCCGCGGCGTCATTATGGGGCCCAGCTAGCTTAACCACACTAGGGCGACTCCCTAGTCCCCTCTAGGCTATATTAACCTCCGGCCCGTTGGTAACCTCGCAGCGACCGGGTTTATCAAAACCATTTCACAAAAACTATCATTTCCCAAAAAATTCCTCATTTTCATTTCAAGACAAATTCTCCCATTTCATGCATCCCAATGACATGTCCAAGAATGTACATATAATCTCAATATCATGACAATGTGAAATTTTGGCACAATACAATTAAGCATGGTCTCATACATCACTTTCAGCAAGTTTACACATTGTAGACATAAACTCAACACATAGGCAAGCTTTTCACATAATACATCACATGTGCATAAACATACATTTCTCTAGACAACATTAAAATAATCATAAACACAATTAATCCCCAAGTAAAGCATGTTAGCACATAAAAGAGGTATGATTCACAAAAAACACCACAAAGCCATCATTTATACATGCTTTTCACATAGACAAGTCATAACCCTAAGACATGAATTTTTTCTAAACATCACTTACACCTCATTGAAGCAATTAATTCTCAAATTTAGCATGTCTAGCACAACAAAAGAGCATAACTCACAATGGAACAAGAAGAGAGTGGATTAAGATGCCCCTACCTCAAGATTGCACCAAAACCATAGAAATGGGTCTAAATTTTCTAGTTCCAAAGAAGGCTCAAAACTGAAAATTGCTTGCATCAACGCGTAGAGCTCGTCACACTCGTCGTTTTGCCTCAAACGGCACCTAAATCCGGCAAGTAATGAAGATGGAATCAAAGCTTGAAGATTAGAACCAAAAAAGAAAAAAAGGAGTTTCTGGACGAGAGAGATGACCTTGCGGGAATGAAAAAAAAAAGAAAGCAAAGATGGTCTCATAACCATTTAAATGCTTGTTGGTCCCACCCATTAACTTTTCTTTTGTCTTTTCTTTTTTGTTTAAATTACACACACACACACACACACAAATAAATATACACAGACGTTACAACTTTACTTTCTTGTAAACATTCCAAGATGCCAGGGACATCGGAATCGGGGAAGGGGTATTCCTTCTTCTCTAACTCCTTTAACGTAGGACGCTGTCTTTCCCTCTCTTGAAACTGGTGAGGCTTTTTATCATCCTTCTTATCATCTTTAACAGATATCTTGATTGGGGTGGTTGAGATAGCCATAGAATCTTTAGCAGCGGTCTTTGACGACTTATCGCCCTTCTTCCAGTCTTTCTTATCCTTGCGTGGTTCTATGGCCACGGGACTCTTGCCTTCATGGGATTTCATACTGATCTCCATGTCATGGGCACTTGTTGCCAATTCTTCAAATGTGCAAGGTTTTATACCTTGCAGAATGTAAAGAAGTCCCCAATGCATTCCTTGCATACACATCTACACAACAGAGATTTCTGACAATCGGTCCTTGCAGTCAAGACTGAGTGCTCTCCACCGATTAATGTAGTCGACTACAGGCTCATCCTTTCATTGCTTCGTGTTAGTTAACTCTATCATACTAACAGTACGACGAGTGCTATAGAACCTGTTCAAGAATTATCGTTTCATTTGGTCCCAACTATCAATTGATTCTGACTTTAGGTCGGTGTACCACTCGAACTTTAAGGGAGCGGGCAAACTGTTTAACTAGTAAGTCCTCCTCTGTTCCGGCATTGTTACAAGTCTCAACAAAATGGGCAATGTGTTGCTTGGGGTTACCTTTCCCGTCAAATTGCTGAATCTTCGGAGGTTGGTATCTTACATGCATCCTTATACTGTCGATTCTCCTTGTATAAGGCTTTGAGTACATGAGAGTGCTCTGTGAGACGCCTCCATATTGGGCTCGGATTGTATTCATTATCATATCTTGCAATTGTGCAACAGATAATGAAGAGACTGAAGAAGCATGATTGGTTTGACTAGCTGCCTGTTCTGTCACCGGTGTCTAGTTTTGATTAGCCACCTGTTCTGTGACCGGCGTCTGTTTGGGGTCCTCCATGTGAGTACCTTGTACGGTAGAATTAAGATTCTCCGTCGGTATTGCTGTGGAAGATGTAGGATTCCTAGACGGTGGTGGTGTGAAAGTTGCACGATTCCCAGTTGGCGGTGGTGTGGAAGATACAGGATGCCCAGATTGTACTGGTGATTCACCGAAGGTCTGAACTTCCAATTTGTTCATCAGCGTAGCGATTTGTAAGTCTTTCTCTTCAACAGTCTTTGTGAGGGTCTCAATGGCACGAGATATAGTTGCTAGTTGTTCCTCCACCATGGCAGCTCTAGTCATCATAGCAGCGACCACATCTGAGTATGATAGGCCCTGAGAGTCAACGTTTCTTGAAGTGATTGAATACTCTGAAGTCTGACGTGGTGACTCTGGGGTTGAACCGACACTAGAGCGAGCATCATAGATAGAATGAGGTGAATCTGCTGGTGGCGGAATCTCCTCTGGAACAACGTCAGGGTTCTTGACATGTTGGGTTTTCACGTTTGCCGGCTTTGCAGGATTGGTTTTCACCAAGTCTTGCTAATGTTTGGATGAAGCCATTGCCTGGGACTTGCTACGTGTCATAGGGCCCGCCAAGGTACTTCCATCACTTGATTTGGCCTTCGTGCCACTTTTCATGGTGGCTTTGGCGTCGACCTTTGTGGTAGCGATGTTCTTTTGGGCTTTCTTGTTTGTCTGAGTCTTAGGGGGAGCCATAGAGTCGGATAGAGAAGAAACTTGCTGATAGGAGAAAGAGATGAGAAGCAAAGGATGTCCCACCGGGCGTGCCAGAAATTTGTACACACAAATTTTGTAAGTCTGCAATAGAAACAAAATATGGAGCAAATAATATAATTTTATTAATTTATAAAACATGAGGTACAATCCTCTGTAATATTCTTTACAAAAAGAAAGAACTGATTCTCTGATTAAATCTCCTTTTTCTGTTGGTTGGTTGGATCTAAGGGCTGCACAGGTTTGATCTTGAATCACCGTGGAATTTGATGAAGAACGGCACGTCTTTGGCTATGCTTGTTGTTGATCACCGTGGAATTTGATGAAGAACGACACTATTTGATGTGCTTAGTGTTCTTCGCTTTTGGGTTTGGATGTTGGGGATGAGAGTTTCTGTATTTCTCTCTGGAATTCTAAATTTCTGAATTCTGACTTTGTGTACCCCTTCTCCTTTCCTCTAGGCCTCTATTTATAAGCTTCTTGGATCCATAGGATGATGACACGTGTCCTCTCTGATAAGGAAAATATCATAACTGGGCCGGGCTGGATATATTATGATAATTATCCTTAAAAATAATTATTCCAAATATATTTTATTAGGAATAATTATTCTTTTTATTCAACCATCTGGACTGGGCTTAATTAAATAATTTAAGTGGACCAAACTTGGGCCAATTAAATAACTTAATTAAACATTAGGCCCATATTTAATGGGTCCATTTGTCCAAATCAAAGTCCACTAAAATTTTAGTGTCTACAACTTGTTTAATGAAAACCATTGCATATTCAATGAAAACCATTGCATGATCATTACTTCATAATCATAAAAAATAAAAGTAATTTAATTTCAATTAAAATAAAATCAATTCATCTAAGACAAGATAATGATTCAATTAAAACTGAATATAAACATTAAATCTCAATCTTAGTACAACTAAATCAATTCTTTAAACCATGCAATCAATATACATAACTAGAAAATTTCCCCAAAACAAGTATAATTAGACCATATTACTTGGATATGGTTACATCAATTCCCTAATAAATAATTTAGCTACTCATGGAAAAGGTAGACAGTTTCATCGGTGTGGTGAATACCATCTCCATGGACTGAAAATTGATCAGAATCACCTTAATTCTCCTAAGCCTCCAATTCTTTTTTCTAACCAACCACTATCTCCAATCTTCTTCCTCCTTTCAATTTAGAGTAATTCTACCCTAAATCAACTTCAACTGGGCCTTGAGTACGTTCTCCTAACTTTGGTTGAGATCCGACCCCTATTTGGCAAGTAGAGAGAAAAGTTGAGAATTCTCACAGCTATTAGGATTTGTATCTAATGGATTGATCGCACTAAGTTTGCAATCGATCTTAGTCCTCCTGCGATCGATCTCACAAAGGAAATGATCGATCATTTTGTTGGCAGAATCCTAAGAAACTTTTCACAACTACTAGAATGATTTCGGTCGATCTTTTTGAAGTTTTCATCGTGCACAATGGATTACGATTGATCGCTTTGCGATCGTTCACAATTCTTTAACTCCTGGAATTCAAATTTTGTGGCATTGAGATCGATTGTAGGTAGTGTAGGACCTATCTTAAACTGCAGAAATCTGTCTTGTTGGCCTTCTTGAGTTCTGAATCAATCCCGAACACATCGATATCTTCCTCGAACCCTAAAAACACCGTCATAATTAAGCCTGAAGTTATTGCTGAATTAACCTCTTGTGGAGGTGAATACTTGAAAATAACCAAATCCAAGAAAATAACATAAGTCTTACTACAAAAGCATCACCAAGGTGCTAATGTATGCAATTTTAAGGGTTTGAATGTGCAACTTTCAGCGCTAATCACCCAGTGCCTATTCATACCCATTCACATCAAATCGCCCATAGGTTGTCATAATCACCCCCTTAGGGATCCAACGTTCTCATTGGCCATACTTTTAGCTGGGTTAGGCTTAATACCATTTATAACGACCCACTCTTCCTTCTCAAATTTGAAAAGATGCTTTTGATCTTTAGGATTAAATAATAGAATGGTAGTTGATTTAGTTGAAAAAAAAAATGACAAAACCTTTTGTTGACCAGGGTGAGTACCATTAATTACCATGATATGTTTATTTGTTGGAAGTCCAGTTACCATGATATGTTCCAAAATATTAAGTTTTTAAATTAAAACTAGGAAGTATTTTTGCCCAATTTAAGACAATTTACCACTAGGTTAGTGCATGGAATGATCTCTGCCCTCCTTGTATATTTAGAGTATGAGTAAGCGCTTATGGGCATTTTGCGAGTATGTGTTTCTTTAACGTTTGAATGGAAAAACAAAACAGAAAAAGAAAAAGAAGCATATAGTAAAATGCTCCACAAAATTATCAACAATGGTATCTTTAAACCTTATAATGACCTTGGAATGAAAATTATTTAGATACATAAGGTAAATCATTTTGCTGTACACCACACTTATATAATTTTCTAGAGTGACATCGAGTGCATCCCTATTTATACTATAATGCTTAACAATTATTTTATTTTTTATAGGACAAAAGATCAACATAGTACTTTCTGATCCATCCTTCAATGACATCTAGTTCTCTCTGTCGCTGTTGGACCAACCAATCGGGATCAGTTTGCCTTGCTCCCATTATGTCTAAACAATGAGATCCTGCATATTAAAGTAGATATTGTAAATCTCTTAAAACATTAATGCAATTTTAATCTGGTAGTAAATTGGGTGAATATTCACACACACACACACACACACATATATATATTCTAGGATTAACTGCACTGTAAATTGTTTGGGGTTTATATCTAAATTGTTTGGCTGGATTGACAGGGTTCCCCTACCGTTAATTGTAGAAATGGCAACGATAGTGTCTGATATGTCCTTCAACACGCTGTGATTAGAGGAGAAAACAAGCATATTAGGTCAACTAAATTAAGACATATTAATTAATTTTATCTACTAATTACAAAAAGAAAAATGTTTTTTTCAAATACCCGCCAACACTATACGGATCTCTTAGTCCGTTGGAGAAAATTATGTTGCTAGCAAACCTTTGAAGAACAAATCCTATATCCTACAATGAGCCATGGAAAAGCACTTGTTAAACTTCTAAAAGTAACTAGTAAGTATATAACTAAAATGTATAAAATAATAATCGGAAGCACTTGGAAATAGAATTGAAAACAAACAAATCAGAAGTACATACTTTGCCTCCAAAATAGGTTGTGGCCCAATGAAGTCTTGGTGGGACGCCATAGGTGTCAATGCAATCCTTGGTGAAGTTAACTACATTGTCCGTAGGATCAATTTGGAACATAGTGTCTCTCTCCGCTCCAAAGGGTTGAACCATCTCACTGCATGTCTGAATAAACCAACCAACAATTCAAATGAAGAAAATTTTAAAGTCTGTTTGGGTTATATATATATATATATATATATATATAAATAAATAATATTTACAAAATTATGGTAGACATTCTCAGATGTAAAAAACCCTCACTCTCTTTCATGGTTTATACTTTGTTCTATATATTACTATATATATATATATATATGCAACTTACTTGCCAATTATACCCCTTATTTGTTTCGCTATAAGTTGCGTCGGGCCTCGTATCATAGCAAGTTTGATTATTTTTAATGGCGACGACACCAGCAAATATCCGGCCAAGAATATCGGTTTTTTTCAATGCTGCATCAATGGCACCACAGATCACAGTAACAGGATACTTTGGTGGAGCATTATATTGAGCTGCTACTTCATACATTTCGAGCAAGTAGTTCTTGAGCTCCTCCGATCCGTTTATGCGCCTGAACCAATTTGAAAATATTCATTTTTGTTAATAAAATTTATTATAAAACTAATTAGTGGATAGAAAATTAATAATTAATTTGGATTGACTATATGTATATTGTATATAATTAGTTACGAGCAAGTCTTGAATCTCTGGCTAAGGATTGAAAGACCATTTGGCCTTAAAGCAACTGTATCAATTTTAGACCATGATTTTTTTATAGTCCGGTAACATCTCTTACTGACTTCCTGCAACAGTACATATATAGTTACTTCATTATATAGCCATAGGGTCAAATTAATTAACTTGAAAGGAAGAAAAAAAACACAATATATAGGAAAATTTAATTTATTTATTTTCATTCAATAATTAAATTGTACCTTGTAATCCTTTGAGACAATGGTACGATACCCATTATATGAGAGGAGGCCATGGAAGTTAACCACAGGTGCAGATGAGGCTAGAGCTCCGAGGGCAACATGGGGATACCTTAGCCGAAGCCATGTTGCAAGCACTGAAAATTTTCAGGAATGGGATGAGAAATAATTGAATGATATATATCTTAGTTATGTGTAATTGGGTTAATATATTAATGGTTAATTAATATTATTATTTGCTAGCTTGCTTACTTCCTCCATAAGATCCTCCAATTACAATAACAGGAGAGAGGGGAGCGGAAAGTTTCTCCTTGACATATGTGATAACCGTTGCATAATCTGCTATTGCTTGAGCTGAATTGAAATAACCACGAAGAGTAGCATTTTTCATCGCATTTTCAAATGATCCGAATGGAACTGATTTTCCATAGAACCGATGCTGATACATGAGCAAACAAATCAAACATGCATTTATGCATGCAGTTTAATATTAATGCTATATATATATATATATATATATATATATATATATATATAAAGCTACAGGTCTTGGATTTGCTACTCTACCTCAATATAGATTAAGAGAGCTTTAAAACGAGGGGCACTATCGGTTAGAAGCGCACCAGTCATATTAGCAGTTTCATTCTTAATTAATGGCGCCTCAGCACCAAGATAAACGAAGATTGGCGCGTTTTCCTTGGCACCCCCCCAGTATTTGGTATTTATCACATATCTTTGTGGAAAAGTGGTATAGCTTTCAGGTTTGTAATTGAAGTGATCAAGTGTTTGGTTGTAAAAAAAGATTTCAAAGTCTTTCTTTGGGGTTTCTGGATTTGTGTGTGGTGATGATTTTGTTGATTTTGTTTGATCACCTTGTAGGAAAATTCCTCCAGAAAGACCGAGCCTTCCTCTATTATATGGATTTGCAGACACAATGGTTGAGGAGATTAGAGCAAGCAAAGAAACCAACTGAAATAAAAGTTTAAGCAAGATCGACATTGTTAACATCTGGGTTGAGATAGGGCTAGAGAAATTAATTATTGTCTCTTAACTCCCATCTGAATCTTCAAAGATAAATTCTGCTATATATATATGTTTGTATATATGTGCATTTTTACAATTGGACTTTTTTTGGTTCACTAGGGAAATGATCATTAGATTATGTTGACCGAGTCTTCAGGCTGAAATCTTAAGCAATTTCCATTGGTTTTTATTCTAAATAATCTTGGGATTGGATTTATTTTTCGGTCTTCCCTTTTGTCACATTCCTTCTATGACGTATTCCTTGCTATAAATGCGTCTGATATATATATATATATATATATATATATACATATTATATTTTATACTTGTGGGCATGTGGCCAATTATCCTTTGTTTGAAATATGTTTATGAGCCTTTGGGTCGTCGGATATACTTTTTGTTTACAAAGTGGTTTGTATATTCTGTACAGTTCTTTACTACAAGTCTATTTACCCAAAATATATATTTCTATATCTGTACTCCAATTAAAAGTTGATTGACTTTACAATATTTATATGCACTTTAAAAGACTTATTTTAATTTTTAAAAAATATATATATTACATAACTTCTAATGTTTTGAGCAATTTGACATTTCTAATAAATCTTTTTGAATTCCCAAAGGTTTCTACTTTTGAATTCCAATAATTTTTAATTAAAAAAAGATATAAAATGGTTGAAAATTTTCTGTATTAAAATAAATAAATAAATAAATAAATATATATTTCTTTTGCTGAGCAAGTTATCTTCTTTTCTGAAGAAGCGTCACTCTGATATTCAAACATCTCTTATAAAAACTTCTTCTTTTTTCATACGTGGTATTAAATAACTTTCTTTCAATTAAAATATATTTCATCTCCCTAATTAAATTATTTTGTATTTTTTAAAAAAGAAAATGTGACGCTTTGTCATTCCTGATGCAAAACAAATAGCTGAAGATGTTGGAAACTGTTTGGATGGTCAAAAGGTTAAATAGGCGGGCTAACCAATTTTTTTAGATGATTTCGACGAATCCATTTTTAGATGATTTCACTGTCTTTCCAGTGAATTGGTTGATTGTTGAAAGCAAAATCAATATGAGGAAGAGCAGTATCCTACTGTTTTGGCTTATCACCTGAAATAATACACCGAATCATGTTTCCCAGCATTCTGTTCACTACTTTTCTCTGACCATCTGTTTGCGGATAACTAGAGCTGCTGTATTTCAGGGAGGTACCAAATTTCTGCCACAAAGTCCTCCAAAAATGACTAAGGAACTTGACATCACGATCTGAAGTAAGAGACTTCGGGACTCTATATAAACGCACAATTTCTTGAAAGAAAGATTAGCCATGTGGGTGGAATCCAAGGTTTTTCGACATAGAATAAAGTGCGTCATCTTTGGAAACCTGTCAACAACCACAAAAATAGAATCCATACCCCTTTGAAATCCGTGGTTAAATCCTCCCTAATGTTTTTTGGCACGGGGAGTGGAGTATATAACCTAGTATATTGTTGTGTTTTTTTGGTAGAGTCTGATCACGTGTTGATAACGTGAAGATTTTGGGAAACTAATGATTTTAATTTTGGCCACTAGTGTGTTAGAACCGGTTCAGAGATATGGTACCAGTTCAGCGATATGGTACCGGTTCCATTGAGTGATAGCCAAAATCAAGGAAACGTTGATCAGCCACTGTCCAGTGGGAACCAGTAGCCAATTCAAAGAAGATTCATCTCTGGACATTAGGAACCGGTAGCCAATTCCTGGTATCGGTTTAACTTTTTTTGAAACCTACGTGATTTACTTTCCTTGTTGGTTTTGGACACTACAAAAGACAATTCTTGTTGGACAACTTGTGTTCTATTGTATGGGGCTATATATATCAATCCCAATCAGTATTTTTAGGTGTGGAGAAAATTAGAGAGAAATCATATGTGTTGTATGATTAATTTGTGCCAACACAAGAGGGAGCAATTGAGAGAGATTGAGAGAAAATTCTCTTTGTAATTTTTTATCTTATTCATAGTGAAGTTGTTCAGTGTGCTTCATGGATGTAGCCTTAAGATTTGGGTGAACCATGTATATCTTTTGTTCTTGTTTAAGTTTTTTTTATGATTGCTTGATTATTTCTCGAACAGCGTGCATTGTTATTTTGCGTTTCCGCCACAACAACTGGTATCAAAACCGGTTGATTGTACAGAGCAACTCCAACAACTGGTATCAGAGCCTTTGGTTGAGAACCTAGGGCATAGAAGGTGTTTGACGAAATTTCGAAAGTCTTTCGATCAGATTTGTCCGTTTGAGTGGGAGTAATGGCATCAGAAGATAAGATATCCACATCCATGATCGAGAAGTTTGATGGCACAAACTTTGCTTTCTGGAAGATGGAAATAGAAAACCTTTTGTTTCATAAAAATCTGTATCAACCTTTGGGTGAGAAGCCAGAGGATACAAAGGATGCAGATTGTGAATTACTTGATAGGAAGGCTCTTGGCACTGTCAAATTGACATTATCAAAGTCAGTCGCCTTCAACATCAAGAACGAGAAGACGACGATGTCTCATGGCAGCCCTTTCTAGTATGTATGAACAACCTTCTGCAGCGAACAAAGTACACTTGATCAAGAAGTTGTTCAACATGAAGATGGTCGAAGGTGGTAAGTTCAACAAACATCTAAATGCATTCAACAAGATAGTTGGGCAATTAGAGTCTATTGATATCGACTTCAAAGACAAGGTCCGAGCACTGCTAATTCTAGGGCAATTACCCGAGAGTTGGAGTGGCACAGTTACAGTGATCAATAGCTCTGCAGGGACGACCAAGTTGAAGTTTGATGAAGTCGTGAACACGATTCTGACTGAAGAAATCAGAAAGCAAACAACAGGGGTTTCCACCAGTGGTTCGGCATTGACTGTTGAAAGCAGAGGCAATGGTTCAAACAAGAAAAAAGGCAACGGTAATAGAAACAGAGGCAGATCTAAGTCAAAGAATGGAGTACACAGTCTCAAAATTTCAGGAATTCCACAGATCTCAGTGATGTTGAGTGTTGGAATTGTGGAAAGAAGGGTCGTTACCGCGTTAATTGCAGACTTCTAAAGAAGGGAACTAAAAGAAAAACTGAAGCAAACGTTATCTCAAAAGAATTAGATGATGCATTGATATGCTCTTTGGAGAGCAAGGCGGAGTCATGGGTTTTAGATTCTGGCGTATCATTTTATGCCATCTTAAGCAAAGAGCTATTTAGTAGCCTTGAATCGGGTAACCTTGGCAAGGTGTATCTTGGTGATGATCAGCCTTGCGGCGTCATTGGTAAGGGTGAAGTACAAATCAAGTTGAATGGGTCAGCTTGAAAGTTGATGGATGTGAGACATATCCCTAACTTAAGGAAGAATTTGATTTTGGTGGGACAATTATCAGAGGAAGGTTTTGTTTCAACCTTTAATAGAGACTCGTGGAAAGTTTCCAGAGGCGCTATGACCATTGCACGTGGTAAGAAATCTGACACTCTCTATACAACTACCAGTGCTTGTGGGTTTATAGCAGTTGCAGAAAATAGAGAAGATCACAACCTTTGGCACCAAAGATTAGGTCACATGAGTGAAATGGGGCTTAAGATTATGCACTCAAAGGGGAAACTACCAGGCATACGGGCAATTGATATTGACTTCTGTGAGAGTTGCATGATGGGCAAGCAGAAGAGGGTCAGTTTCAAGAAGAGTGGTAGAGATCTCAAAAAGGAGAAACATGAGCTAGTTCACACAGATGTTTGGGGGCCAGCCACTGTTTCATCCATTGGCGAAAAATCCTATTTCATGACTTTCATTGATAATCACACGAGGAAGGTATGGGTTTATTTTTTGAAGCACAAATCTGAGGTATTTGATGTGTTCAAGAAGTGGAAGGCCATGGTGGAGAATGAGACAGGTTTGAAAATCAAGAGGTTAAGGTTAGACAATGGTGGTGAGTATGAAGGCACTGGGTTCAAGAAGTTCAATTTTGATAATGGGATCAAATTAAAAAGAACTGTGCAAGGAACCCCACAGCAAAATGGGGTGGCAGAACGGATGAACCGAACATTGACAGAAAGAGCCAGAAGCATATGCATACATTTGGGTAGAAGTAGTCAATACAACATCCTACCTAATTAATCATGGACCATCGGTGCCTTTGGAGCATTGAATACCAGAGGAGGTATGGAGTGGAAAAGAGGTAAATCTTTCATGGTTGAAAGTTTTTGTTGTATTGCATATGCGTATATTAGTGACCATGCTAGAGGAAAGCTCGACCCCAAGTCACTAAAATGCATCTTCTTTGGGTATGGCGGAGATGAATTTGGTTATCAACTCTGGGATAATCAGAACAAGAGAATCATTAGAAGTAGAGATGTGATTTTTAACGAAAAGGTGATGTACAAGGATAAAGATGCAACACAGTTAACTAGTCCTATACAGAGTAAGCCTGAGTTTATTGAGTTGGATGATGATCCAGAGAGTATTGACACCGAGCAGACAGATGGGGGTTCTTGGCCAGAACTCACAGAGCATAGTTTACCACAGATTCCAACTCCTATGCCTGCACCCAAAAGGTCTACGTGACCTCATGTACCGAATAGGAAGTATTTAGATTATATATCGCCACAGATGATGGTGAGCCTAAATGCTATGATGAAGTATGTCAGGTTGAAGATGCTAGCAAGTATGAGCTTGTAATGGAAGATAAGATGAAATCCCTTGTCTCCAACAAAACATGGGAACTAGCCAAGTTGCCCATGGGGAAGAAAGCTCTTCACAACAAATGAGTGTACAAGGTGAAAGAGGAACATGATGGTTCCAAGAGATACAAGGCGAGAATGGTGGTCAAAGGCTTTTAGCAAAAGCAAGGCATTAATTACACAGACATTTTTTTCCTCTATTATGAAATTGAGTACCATTCGCCCAGTTCTTAGCATTGTTGCAGCAGAAGGGTTGCACCTCGAGCAGTTAGATGTCAAAACTACTTTCCTCTATGGTG